TGATATTAACATTGATATATTTTTTTTTTCAAAATTTTTATGATATCTTCAAATTTATATTTAATTCAAAAATGAAATAATTATTGCTTTCTTAAAAACATATAAAATCGTAATGTAACATCAACAGAGACAAATAATAAAATAAAACATTAAAATCGAGATGTGTCTCGCTGCATTGCACAAATACTCTTCTAAGTTATTATTAAACTAGTTTGGAATATGTTTTTATCTTTACTTCATTTGAATTAATATTTAAACTTGGTGAATTAATTGATCCTTTAGGATTATTTATGATTCATTTGAGCGAATTTTATTATTTTGAATTAAGATATTTTGATGAAATCATTCAATTCTTTTTTTAAAGTATATACTTTTTTTCTTGAAAAAACAAACATCTCTAACAAGTATATTATATTATCTTTTAAATTTAAAGAATTCTCCATTCCTTATTTTTTTTCTCTATTTAGAAGAGAATTTAGCATAACAACATAACTGTTGAAACAAAATTTTTAAATCTTTCAAATTTCTAAAATAACATAGTTGTTAAAGATGATTCTATACTTTAATCACATATAACATCATTCGTATTATTTTAAACACAAAAACATTGAATTTTGCACATAATTTTTACACAAATATTTATTCAAATATTATATTTGTTTTGATACATAATTATATAAAATATTTAAATTAAATTAGACAAGTGTTTGTTAATGATGCTATAGCAGCCCAATTTACCTTGATGTATTTTATGCTTCTTTCTGGTTGATCGTGGGCCATTTCTGGATGGTCAGCTAGCCTATACATATTGGGCCTTGCTTTTGTTTGCAGTTAAAAGAAGAAGGTTTGGTTGTTTTTATATTAAATTACTAAATTAAACTACATTAGTATTTGTTTATTATATTGAATAAATAACAAAAACAATCATTTTACCCTTCAATAAGTTAATACCAAACAGTCATGCATGGCTTAATCCCATAAGTTAATACCAAAGGCAAACAGTGAAACATATCTTGATCAATTCGTATATAAACCGATACAATTCAATTAAGTTTGGATAACCGATCTACAAAAGAATGATTGACATGTGGATTGGACCCAAATCAGAACAAAATGTAGATTGGATAGAAGGCCCTAATCTGTTAAAATGTGACATCCAACAAAAAGTAGGTTGGACCTTTGAACATAAACATTTATTAAACCATCTTTCCACATGTCCCTTAAAAGGGATCTTTGATATTTACAGCAAGCTAAACATAGTCTGTGTTTAACCACACATTTAGGAAAAAGCTGGATCTAAACCGGGATACTGATTTTGTCAATGACAAAAGTATAAATGTTAAGACTTGCATGAGTCTTATCATCAGTTCAATTATGTTTTATCTTCCTTCCATTGGGTTGAAGAAAGATTGTAAGTTTGGCCTCCTGTAGAGGGTCAAGAAAGCCAAGTGAGATCAGAGCTTAGTGAATATGAAATTCTATAGACTATGTTTACACCTGTGCTGTATGAATGTTATTCTCATTGCATAAGACAGAAACCGAGAGGAAATTGCAGTGTGAAATAAATAAATTTATCTGTTTCGAACTCGAGTGTTTTCGGTTCAGAGACGTGAGCCAAGCTTGTGAACTGCAGCAGTGGACGACTTTTTTGTGGGTTCATCATGTCAATAGCCGTTTATCCCTTTGAAAACAGATTCGGTCAACCTAACAAGAAGTCAAAATAGGAACGGTAGAAGAATTAGTTATCAAAACCTCAGCCCGGTAAGTCAGTAGCTAATTAGTGTAATAATAAATGAATCACTTATGCAGTCAATATGACAAGTTACAGACAATATTTCTAAATTCAAAACAGAGGCAAGATTAGAAAATGTATTAGCACGGCAATGGGAAATGTTAACTTTATTGAATAAACCCACATATGAAAGTGTCATGTACGGAAAACTAGAGACCTGCATAACAGTATAGCATCGCCATGTAATGGGAAGTAAACCCAGTGAAACCAACTCTCTACTTTACTACTTACATAGCATCGTCTAGTTTGATGTATTTCTTGAAAGCTTGATGGATATCTAGTTCATTAAACAGAACTAGAGAAGTCACTAGTCTTTGCTATCAGTTATAATCTCAATAAGAAAATAAGGGGAAATGGATCCGGAGGTCGCTTAAGCATGGTATCTTGTTCGTTCGTTCCCATTCTCCCCTAATTTGTTTCAAAGAGGACACCTGTTTTAACAAGAGTCTCCAAAATGCCTTCTGTGGTTGGAGAGAGGGCACTTTGCACTCTATCTTTCTTAATTTAAATTATATATTTTTAAATTTAATTTATTAATTAAAATAAAATATAAATTATTGAATTGTAGTTTGTGCATCTTAACTTGTATGCAAACCAAGCTATAATTTCAATCCGTGGAGGCAAAAAGGACATGTTCCAAGCGAAGGTGTAAGTCAGGGTGGCCTATACTACCCGCTGGAAGTTCATCCAGATCTTTGCAATATCGACAGATATGTTAAAACAATTGTAACAATTTAGGGGATTGTTACAGACAGATGCCACATGATTAAAGGTAAGAAGTGATGGAAGTAATGGAAGTATACCTTCTAAATCTGGTGCCTAGTTAGATTTTGATGTTACCATGTCTAAACCACTGAACACTGATATATATATATCAGTGTTCAGTGGTTTAGACATATATATATATATATATATATATATAGGAGTGATCAAATGAAAACCACCCTCATTTGTAAAAACCGTACAAACCACCCTCATACGTCGATTTCATTGTTTAATCTTATAATATTTTTTTTCATGAAATTGTTTAATCTTGTGAAATTGTTTCATATAATACTTTTTTTGATGAATTTGTTTCATATATGGTTATGAAATTGTTTCATATAATATTTAATGAAACTGTTTCATGTATTTCTCTAAAATTAAAATAATGAAGATGATAATATCCATGATTAACATATTCCACAATAAAAATGGTTAAACAACCTCTCATAATTACAAAAAAATGAACAAAATGAAAAATTATGATTGGTTGAATGAGGTTTTCACGGTTTTTACAAATTGAGTGGTTTTTATTTGAACGCTCCCCTATATAGATATATATAGGTATATATATTACATATCCATAACAAAATAGCCATTTTTGCTATCAAATGATAAAAAAGCTATTCCTTTTCTCCCTTCACTTTTTTTTCTGAGTAATTTACTTGAAATATTTTTAAACCAACATTGTATCAAAGTCTCAGAAAGATGATCATGGATCCAAAGAATCTAGCATGAATATATTACGGCAAACCACATCTATCAATAAACACGTCTGTTGACCTCATACCAGTAATGGAGGAATGGTCATAATATACAACTAAAAGCCCTTACAAATGGAAATCTTGAAATATAAAAACTGACCTGCGTCAACTAGCTACATGCAGGGACGGAACATACCACTGGTGGAAATAGTGGGACCCACATTATCTATCTACATGCAGGGACGGAACATACCATTGAAGCATCTTAACTTCAAGATAAGCCCATCTCAACCGAAGTCTAGGATTATATACTGGAAGAAATTAAAACCATAACTAAAAGAAAAGGCATACCATGTGTTGCTCTTGCAGCCTTCAAAGAGTTTTGGACAGAAAAACGCACATATTTTCATTGCTGCCTTGAAGCACCGGTACCAACTTGAAACACAATCATTAGTCAGACCTTTCTGGGAATCCTTCATCTTCAAGGTCGATTTAAGTTTTCGGCTCACAACAACAGTTTTTTTAACATAATTGCTGAGCCATAGTATATTCCTCAATGTAGGTTTTAACTCTCTCATCAAGGTTTCATCTTGGTCTTTTTTTTATCAACCTCACATTCCTTGCACAATATAGTGTTATTTGTGTTCTTTATAAACCTCAAGTCCTCGGCACAATCTTTTTAAAAAATGGCATTCAAATCTTTTGCAAAGTTTTCACTGAATATAGTATCTAGCAATGGATATAGAAGATGGACTCCAAAAGACTTCTCTCTTTCAAGGGGTTAGTTGGGAGAATCATTGAACCCATCCGAGAACAACTTATTTAGCAACTTATTTGCATCTGCAGAGAAACTAGCATCAAGCGATCCACTAAGAAATTCAGCAGCCTTGGTTGTCTCATTTGCTCGGAGAAATCCTTGTACCATTATCTTATAAGTAATGTCATCTGCAGGGCAACCATTTCTTTTCATTTCTAGAAACAATGTATTTGCTTTATCGAGCTCACCCTTTTTACAGAATCCATCAATCATGATGTTGTATGTACGAACATTAGGTTGCAAGCCTCTAGCCGAGAGACTTGAAAGGATCCCAAACGCAGTATCAGTTTCCCCAGATTTGCACAAACCATCAATGAGGCAATTGCAAGTAACAATATCAGGGGGGGGACCATCACCATCCAGCATGTTAAACAAATTTAGGCCCTCGTCCAGTTTTCTATTCTTACAAAGGGCATCTAATATAGTATTGTATGTGAAGATATCTGGATCCAAACCATGAGTTTTCATTTCAGCCGGAAGCAAAAGCGCCTCCTCAAGTCTGCCGACATGACACAAACCACCAATAAGACTGTTGTATGTCACGAGATTAGGATCAATACCTTTCTCAGACATTTCACGAAAAACACTGAAGGCTGCATCCATTTTTTCATTTTCAGAGTAACCGTTGATTAAGATGTTATAACTGATAATGGAAGGCATGCAACCATGGTCAATCATAGAATCAAAGAATTTTCTAGCAACGTCCACTTTTCCAAGTAAACAATAACCATCCATCAGTGTATTGTATGTCACAGTGTTAGGCATCACACCTCTTTGGATCATCAATTTCAGCAAACTTTGTGCCTCAATCACCCTCCCTTCTTTACATAGTGCATCCATTAAGACAGTAAACGTGTGTACATTTGGTGAGATGTTTCGAGCAAGCATCTCACTCAACAATCTCATTGCTTCTTCCCATGAGCGTATACTACACAAACCCTGAATTAAGCAAGTGTAAGTGACAACATTTGGCGAAATGCCTTTCCTATTCATTTCAGAAAAAAGATCCAAAGCCTCTACAAATTGTTTATCCTTGCAGAGGCTATCTATGATGGTGCTGTACTGGATAATCCCAGGTGGAGATATCGACGTTTCCATCTTCCTAAGCAATAGAATAGCAGCATGAGTGTCTCCCGATTTGCAAAGACCATTCATCAATGTTCCATAAGTTACTACACTAGGTTCAAACTTGCTTTCCACAAGTTGATTGAATAATCTGATCGCTTGATGAAGCTTATCATTGGCACAGAGTCCCCTAATGAGTGTATTAAACGTAGCGCAATCGGGTACATAACCAAGTTTTGTGGCTTTCCCTAGCACAGCGAATCCACAGTTCACTCTTTTCAAGTGACAAAAACAATTAATTGTAATGTTGAAAACATAAATGGTGGGCTTCAGAAAAGGGTTGACGCCTAACAAGTCAAATTGTGTGATCAAAGAAATAGCAGCATCGAAATGCTTCATATTGACAATACAAGCTAAAACCTTAGTGAATTCTTGAATAGGGGGAACAGGATTCCGACGGGACATATGATTAAACGTATAAACAGCGTCTTCTAGGGTTTTGAGATCAGTAACTTCTTTACAATTTCGATTACTGGAATGAAAAGAAGCAGCAAAAGTATAAGAACGATTAAAGTAAAGGGGTGAAGTAAAAAACTTACGGGCACTAAGAAGACGAAAGACAGAGGGATGAATTCCAATACCGTAAAACGAATGCTTCATCATCATCGACTCTAAAACCCTAACATCATCGTCCCAAAAACCCTAATGCCAGCAGGTGCAGGTCTCAATTGCTCTTTGATGTTTTAATTATCAGGGGATTAACGGTTGCATCCTCAATCAAATGATTAACTGACAAATATACCCCTATATTTATCAGTTATTAATATTACATCCTTGTAGTTATGAGTGGTTAACAATACACTCCTTTATGAATGAAGTATCTCGAATACACCCTTAATAAAGTCTACTTCTGTAATAGTTTTCTCTTTTTGTAGTTTTTTTAAATTTTATTTACATTTTATCTTAATTATTATTATTTTATGCACCCCTTTTTATTGGTAAAATGCACATCCTCCTATTCTTTAGGTCAAAGTCAACTAATTGTATTAATTATTTTTTCAAAAATTTATTTCTTATAGATTTATGTTTTATAATTTTCGTTAACATTGTTTTCTAATTTTATTTTTCTAAATTTATGTTTTATAATAAATTTTTGTCAAATAATTATTT